GAGCGGTTTGCAGACATTTCACCCTCCCTTCCCTCCACCAGGGCCCACTTCCAGCTCTAGCTGGGTGTAGGCCAGAGTGGGGTGGGGTTGGGGGGCTTCCCCTCAAAGGGTGGGTCCGGGTCCTCAGCTGGGCAGGCAGCCGGGTTTCAGTAGCCATAGAAACCAAGAGGCAAACATCCTGAGGCCCTTGTTTGAGGTCTCTCAGGGGCCAGCGGGGAGCTGTGTGCGCCCTGCTGATGGGGCCACTCCAGAAGTTCCTATCGAAGTCTCTAGTTGTCCCAACGCATGGGGACCTTCAGCTGCCTGGTCCCGCCTCATGTTCATGATCGCGGCTCTGTCTGAGCGCATCGCTTTGGCTAGCTCAGTGGTTTTCAACCTGTGGGTCGCGACGATCCTTTCACAGAGGTCGCCTAATACATCCTTATATCAGATATTTATTTCCAATACGATTCATAGCAGTAGCAAACTTACAGTTATGAAGTAGCAACGAAAATAATTTTATGGTTGGGGTGGTGGACACCACAACGTGAGGAACTCTATTAAAGGGTCACAGCATTAGGAAGGTTGAGAACTGCTGGGCTAACGTGCTGATCCAACTCCTGGAGAGTCTTCCTCGTTTTCATGGACTTTAGCATGATGTGTCTTTTCTAAAAGCCCGCTTGTTTCCAGAGGAGGCCCCCTAGTGGCACCATATGGGTTGCATTTGACTAGGAACCTAAAGAGTAAAGATAAATGAAATGCACCTGGCTGTGCTGCCGAAGAAATGCCTGGCTGTCTTCGTCCATAAAGCCAAAAGCCAGGTCAAGCCACAGAAGAGTTCTACCCTGTAGGCACATGGGGGCGCCAGGAGTTGGAAATGACTCAGTGGCAACCCTTCCTGTTTTGTTTTTTCTTGTTTTCACTCTTGTCAGGGGTTTGCAGCTGGGGTGTCTGGCTTCTGGGGTGGGTGCCTGGGGTCTGTCAGGGACACCCCGGTCACACTGCTCACGCCCTTCCTTCTAGATCCTGCAGGACCGTACTGTTTTCTTTGGCACTGGGGACTTTTTTTCTGTAACTCTGTCTCCTGAGGAGTGTCATTAAGTAAGACTTGGAGTTAAACTTTAACTGAGGCTCCAGCTGCTGTGTGGGAGAGTGTTTTAAACAGTAACCCAGGAATCCACACCACTCCTTGCTCTGAGAAGATGGGGAGGGGGTCTGATGAGGTCCGAGGAGACCCCTGGCACCCCTGAGAGCTGCCCCGGGCTGGGCGAGGGGCTTTGGCTGCCCATCTGGCAGGACATGCATTCCAGATTCCAGCCCTCTTGAATATGTTCCCACCCATGTGGTCTGGCAGGAGCCCCACTCGGACCCACGTGGTCATCCAGGCACAGGCCACTGTCCACACAGCCTGGGTGGGCTCAGCCCTGTCGGGTTCCCCCTCTGCCAGCCCCTCTCCTTAGCTGACTCCTGCACCCCCAGCCTGTGGCAGGGGCATGGAGGGATGGTTCTGCCCTGCAGAGCAAGGCAGCCCCTCCTGACATCCGCCTGGAACCTGTAAAGGCCCCCAAATGCTGGCCCCTGAGCCTGACCCAACCTAGCTGAGAGTCACATATCCCACCGCCACGAACCGGGGTGGGCCAGGGCAAGGCTGAGGAACACCAGCAGGTGGGGGCAAGTACACTCCTGACGGTCTCCAGGGCCCCTTTGGGGCTACGGGCTGGACTGCTTGCCCCCATCGTCTGCAGACAAGGAGTGTCCTGGCACCGCCTGTGCCCCATCACAGCTGTGCCCCATCACAGCTAGACCCCCTTCGGTGGGGAGCTGGGAGCCCTTGGCCCAAGTGCCATGGGACAGAGCTGGTAAGCTTTGCCCCTAGTATGGAAAGCCACCATTGGGCCCTTTGCGAGTGGGATCCACAGACACCCCACCACCACCACCACCCGGCCCCAGAATAAAGACAGACCTCAAGCAGGAAGAGTGGGGAGTGTGCTGGGAAGCCCCAAAGAGGTTGCCATACCTGGGAGGTGCAGAGACCACCTTTCTCCAGTCAGCTGTGTTCTGACTGTGACACCAGACATGTGTCTGGTTCATGTGGAGTGCAGGGGTGCATCTGAGAAGGAATGGGTGTGGTCCTAATGAGGGGGCCACTTCTGCCGGTGTGGGTGTCCTCCTCCCCACGAACCCCGAAACCTGCCTGCTCAAGTGTTCATCTGCTTTCTGTCCACGGCGCCTCCACCAGGCCCGGGTGAGCACAGCTGAACTGAAGCCCAGAGGGGTCTACTGCTGGTGCTTAGCCCTCCTTCCACCGCACCTGCACCCGCCAGCCTACGGCCCTTCCTGCTTACAGCATCCCCCTCTGCGCGCTGCTCTCTGGTGCTCTGCTCAGAAGCTCTCAGTTACCCCCTCTCACATTTTTCACTGAAACCAGCGGATTCTCTCACACTGCCCAGGAGATTGATCCATCTTGAGAAGTAAAGATAATGTCGTAAAGTTAGGATAATCACTATGATGACAGAAATATTAATGCATACCATTCAAAAGAGCAGTGTACAGTACTCCCTCAATGCAAGAACACTTTTTTTCTATTAAACTGGCATTCCATGATGCTCACCTTCCCGACACGATCGCTGAAGACAAATGGGTGCATAAGCAAATGTGGTGAAGAAAGCTGATGGTGCCCAGCTATCAAAATATATAGCATCTGGGGTCTTAAAGGCCTAATGGTAAATAAGTGGCCATCTAGCTGAGAAGCAGCCAAGCCCACATGGAAAAAGCACACCAGCCTGTGTGATCACGAGGCATTGAAGGGATCAGGTATCAGGCATCAAAGAACAAAAAATCATATCACTGTGTGCTCACCTTCCCAATACGATTGCTGAAGACAAATGGGTGCATAGACAAATGTGGCGGAGAAAGCTGATGTTGCCTGGCTATCAAAAGTTATAGCGTCTGGGGTCTTAAAGGCTTGAAGGTAAACAAGCGGCCATTTAGCTCAGAAGCAACAAAGCCCACATGGAAGAAGCTCACCAGCCTGTGTGATCACGAGGTGTCGAAGGGATCAGGTATCAGGCATCAAGGAACAAAAATCATATCATTGTGAATGAGGTACAGTGCAGATTGAGGACCCAAAACCCATCTGTGGGCAACAGGACATCCCCTTACAGAAGGGTTGCACGGAGGAGACGAGCCAGTCAGGATGCGATGTAGCAATGATAAAACATACAACTTTCCTCTAGTTCTTTAATGCTTCCTCCCCTGCTCCCCACACCCCCAACTATCATGATCCCAATTCTACCTTACAAATCTGGCTAGACCAGAGGATGTACACTGGTACAGCTAGGAACTGGAAACACAGGGAATCCAGGGTCGATGATCCCTTCAGGACCAGTGCTGAGAGTGGCGATACTGGGAGGGTGGAGGAGGGTGGGGAAGAAAGGGGGAACTGATTATAAGGATCTACATATAACCCCCTCCTTGGGGAACGGACAACAGAAAAGTGGGTGAAAGGAGATATCAGACAGTGTAAGATATGACAAAATAATAATAATTTATCAATTATCAAGGGTTCATGAGGGAGGGGGGACCCGGGAGGGAGGGGGGAAATGAGGAGCTGATACCAAGGGCTCAAGTAGAAAGCGAATGTTTTGAGAATGATGAGGGCAGCAAATGTACAAATGTGCTTGACACAGTGGATGGATGTATGGATTGTGTTAAGTGTTGTACAAGCCCCCCAATAAAATGATTTTAAAAAAGAGAGAGCAGTGTACAAACAGTGCCGTGAGGAAACTTAGCGCAGTTTACAAAACGGCGAGCAAAAAGAAAAAGAAGCAAGGAATAGGCCTGAAGAGGCCCCTCCATTCAACTGGAAGCCCCCCCCACTAGGCCCCGCCCCTCCCTTCCGGGGAGAAGCTCCACCCCTCCCCATAAGGTTGCTCCTCTCCCTGAAGGACCCCAGACCAACTGAAAGGCCCCACCTCCTGCGAGGCCACCGCCTCTCCCACGGGGCCCCACCTCCGTGAGGCTCTCCCCTCCCCGCATAGCATAGCTGCATCCTACCCAAGAGGCCCCTCCCTGTGATGCTCTTCCCCCTTGCTCTGAGGCTCTTCCCATCCTGAGAGGCCCCTCCCTCCCGCAATGCCCAGTCCTTCCCACGATGCCCCTCCCCTCCCCCCTGGCTGGTTTCTCCCTGTGAGGTCTGCCTCCTGCGGGACCCCGCCCCAAGAGGCTCCGGACCCAACTGTAGGCCACTTTCCCCACGTGATTTCACCCCCCCCACACACCCCACACGTGAGCCTTGTGCCCTTGAACTGGCTCCCTCAGTTCCAGCACCCTATCCTGGCTCCCTATACCTCTGTGTGAGTCCAGGTTTATTTTCCTGCCAGGAGATCCTGTTTCCTGGAGCCTTTAATAGCAGGGACAACAGACTCACACAAAGCAAAAATGAGGAATATGCTCAGGACTAGGCGTCTCACTTGTCGGAACACAGTCAAAGACGACTGAGCACAGCAGCCCAGGCAGGGACCTTTGACCTCCCGGGAGGAAATCCAGTTAAAATGAGCTTGCCTGTTAAGTGAAAGGTGGGAAGTTTGAGGCCCCCCAGAGGTACCTCAGAAGACAGACCTGATGACCTACCCCTAAAGACTCAGTCCTTAAGACTCCCGTGGAGCACGGCACTCTGATGCACTTGGGCTGCTTCTGAAGATGACGCAGCTGCAGCGAACTGTGACTCCTGGGCCTTGCTGTTCTCCCTGGCTCTTACCTGTGCACGGTCCTGTGGTTGAAGTGTGTGTGCGTGCACCAGGTAAGCACCAACACTGGACTGTTAACACGATGAGGTGTCCCCTTTTAAAGGAGCGTGGAGGTGGTGACCAGGGGGGACCCTGCCCTTATCCTATGTGGACACCCTGTGGGCCTGTGATATTGCTGCCCACCTCAAGCTTACAGTCCAGTACTAACAAAAGGTGTAACCAAGATCTGTGGCAGCTGCTGTGGTAACAGATTGCCGTGTGGTTCGGAAGGAGCCCTGGCGGCACAGCAGGTAGGCAGTTGGCTACTCACTGAAAGGTCAGCAGTTCGAACCCACCGAGTAGCTCTCGTCTATAAAGCTGGCTGCCAGGAAAACAGGGCAGGGCAGTTCTATACTCCCACGGGGTCGGAATCCACAATCAGTGTGAGCAAACACAGAGTCCATCCAACGCAACAAGGGGGCTCGCTGCTTCGGGTGCATGCTCCTTCCTGGAATTGTTCTAGATGTTTCCATGCCAGGCCTCCTCAGTGCCCCTCTCAATGGTGGCTGTTCCCATTGTCTGTCCTAGCACTATCCTGCTCTACCGCATGATGGCCTGGGGGCTGGCTGCCCTGCTCTGCGTGGAGGGAGGCCTGCTGCTCTACTTTCCATCTGTGTCCAGGTAAGGCAGAACCCCAGCTCCCCGGGCACTCGCTCCCCAGCTGTGCTGGCCTGCTGGCAGAAAGGACCCTGTGCTGCCCGAACCAGGGGCTGACCACATTGCATGGACGCTGGGGTTTCCCTGGCACATTTAGGTAGGCAGGTGGCCGTGCACAAAGCTTTAGCCCCGCTTAGCATGTGTGTGTGTGTGTGTGCACACGTGCACACACACACACACATACACACACACACACACCTTTCTCAAGCCCACATTCTGATTCTAACCCTTCCAACCTGCTTCCCCTGGCCGCCCAGGTAAGTTGACCATTAAAGGTGGTGGTGGGCGGGAAGAGGCCAGCCAGGAGGAGCTGTCCGAAGGCCTTCATTCCCACCTCCGTCTGCAGTGTTTCCTCACTTCTCGGCTCTCCGCCCTTTCACCATCCAGATCACAGGTATGGAAAGCCCTCAGGTTGAAGAGCCTGCAAGCACAGCTGTTTGCAGGAACTCGAGGTCCTTGGGAGGGAGTGATCTCCTTCAGGGGAGAACAGAGACAGATCATGTCTCCTCGATTTTAGGGCTGTGCACACCAGGGATACAAATGTTAAGTGCTCCCTAGTATCCCCAAAGTTGGCTGTTCAAACCCACCCCCCAGTTCCATAGGAACAAGACCTACCTTGGGCACCCTCTGGAGGCTGTTTTAACCCTGTTCTATATGGTAGCCACCAGCCAGAATCGACTCAACGGTCACACTTTAGTTTAGTTTAGTTTGTTGTTGTTTTTTAAGATCAGCGATCAGCAAAATACAATTCTCAGGACAAATCCGACTGTTTGCTTGTCTTTGTCAATAAAGTTTCATTGGCTTGCAGCCATGCTGATTTGCTTGCAATGTATTGTCTGTTGCTGTGTTCAAGTGGCAACAGAAGAGTGGAGAAGTTGAGGCAGAGAGACAGCAGTGAGGCAGACCTTAAGGTTTGCCACCCGATCCTGGACACCGTTTCTCTCCGTCATTTTGACCCATGTCTCCAGCTCGGTGCTGGCCTGGTCCCCATGAATCATGGCAGGGGTCACTGTGTATGTCGATGGTCTGACTTCGCAGGGTGGCTTTGACAAGTGGAGAATTGCCTTCACACTCTCCTGGAGGTCCAGTGGTCAGCCAGGCCCGCTCCCTATGAGCTAGCCCTGGGCTGCAGGACCACTGAGTGGAGAATGGTCCTGCCCGCGTTCCCTGTGGGAAACCCTGGGCTGTGCAATCGCTGTGAGTGGGCATCGGTCCTGTCCACACTCTCTGAGCTAGTCCTGGGCTGTAGGGATGCTGTGGCATGGACTCAATGGCTCAGTGAGCCCTGGGCAGGCCTTAGCCCCTTGTCTCCCAGACCCCCTCACTCCCCTGCAGTGTGTCTATATGTCTACTCTCTCTCGGTAGGGCACCCCCGAATAGGGGAGGTTTAGGCCCCATTACAGCCTTCACAATGGAGCTCCCCACCAGAAATCCCGCAGGGACCCTGGTGGCCAGGGAGCTGCTGGATCCAGGCCTAATTCCTCTGCCTCCTCCTTTCTGCAGCCTGGAGGGTGGCCTGGGGCTTGTCAGGCTCCAGGACCACCCTACCTGTCATTTCATTTTAGGCTGCTTTTGCCTCTCCTCCCCACCTTGCCTTGGGGAGGGCATCCGAACTTTCATAGCGGCAGGTGGAAATATCCATTCCAAAGAAGGTGACCACATGACCTTTCTGTGGCTGCCACACAGCCGCTGGCCTCCTTTCTGGTGTGACCAGTCAGCACATACTGGGGCCTTCAGTTTGACCTTTCCACACTGCTGGCCCCAGGAGCCCTGGTGGGTTATGTGTTGGATCACTAGACACAGGCCAGTAGTTTGAAGGCTCCAGCTGCTACTGGGAAGAAAGACGAGACTTTCTACTTCCATAAAGACTAAGTACCAGAAACCCACAGGGGCAGCTCGACCCTGGCCCACAGGGTCCCTGTGAGACAGAATTGATTCGATGGCAGTGAGTTTGGGCCTAGGGGCCCTTTCCAGCGCCAACATCCTGTCTCCCTCTCTGGCTGGGCCTACATTGTTTCTCTGCTCCCAGTTCTCTCTTCTGTAGCGTTGGTGCCCTGCATCTGTCGACCCTTAGCTCCAGCCTCTGTACCTTCCACACATGGTGGCCTTCAGCACATCCAGGGAGACCTGTGATTTCAATGACCGATGGGTGAAAATCTATCCTCTCCCCTGTGAGCCACTGGGCAGTGGTCGCCATACCCTTGAAACACAGGTCCGTTAGCTCGCATCTGAGAGAACAAAGGTTGTTGGCCAGGAAGAGGAGGGCACTGCACGGTGGCTGGTGGGCAGCATTGGGTGGGCCATGCCAGCATCCAGTGAGCTCCCTTGGTATGTATGTGTGTGTTAGTCTCTCCTGCCCACCTGCCTTTCCCTCCCCTTCCTTCACCAGGCAGACGCCATGTAGGCCCCCTCACCCACCCGCTGCACCCCTGGAAGAGCTCAGAGCCCATCTTCCAGTGGAGGCACAGTGCGGCAAACCTGACAGTCCTGAATCTCCCACCTGCTCCCCTGGGAGTAGTCCATCTCAGACCCCCTGAGCACTCAGAGGCAGACTTCCACATTTCTCTTCTCCCCATCACCTTCCTCCCTTCTGGCCCTTCAACTTCTCCTGTTCACACCCCCACCGTCTCGGCTCCCAGGGGTGTCGGTATATCAGCAGAGCTGCGCCTCTGAGAAGAGTGACGTGGCTGCCCTCCCGCAGGTGCGAGAAGGGACTGGAGCACGCCATCCCGCACTATGTCACCACATACCTGCCACTGCTGCTCGTCTTGGTGGCCAACCCCATCCTGTTCCAGAAGACAGTGGCTGCAGGTAAGTCACCATCAGGCCTTCAGCCACCCCCTGTGTCCAGGGTCGGACTGAGCCCTGGGATTTCCACGGCTGATTTTATGGAAGGCCTTCCAGGGCCAGGGCTTTCTTATGAGGTGATACTCGGTGGGTTCGAACACCAAATTTTCAGTTAACAGCCTAAGGACGTGAACACTTTGTTCCACCCAGAGACTTCTCTGCTGCAGGTGGGTCAGGAGAATCCCCCCGAGCACTCGGCCACTGGTGGGGATGGGGCCTGTACACATAGATGGTGGACTAGAATACCTTGCACACTTGTGTCCCTAGAATGATGTGTTTCAGCCTTCTGTAATTGTCCAGGACCACAGACCCATTTGCCATCCTCCGTAGGCTGATGCAAATCCATTGGAGGAAGTGATCAGGTTGAATGAAAAATGAGCAAGCCTATTAGTCCTGGGTTATGCATGCCACTTGCCAATGCTTGTTCATGTAGAGTCAGGAGGAGGCCACCTTTCATTGGCTGGGCTGGACGGTCTTTGAAGGAGGAGAAGTAGAGGGCAGTGGGCTTACAGACTCCATACCTCCCATAATGCACTCAGCCTGCACCTCCTTTCAGTGGAAGAAGCATCCTGCTGTGGAGCAGGAAACAGGAAGTGATCCCAGGAAGTGGTAAGAGCTTGGCAGGAAGAATGCATTGAGTCAGTCAGAGGCAGGGAGTGTGTTTCTGTCCACCTACCCCACCATTGGAATCCTACCTGCAGCTCTATTGCCCGGGAGTCTACCCCCACTTCTAATGACCCCATAGGCCAGAGGAGAAGTACCCCCAAAGGGCTCCCTGGGCTGTCATTATTACAAACGGTCACATCTTCCTCCCAGGGAGAAGCTGGTGGGCTTCAGCCTATGATCTTTCAGGTAGCAGCCAAGTGCTTAAGTCATTGTGCCACCAGGTGCTCCTCAGATTCCCACAACAAGTCCCAAGTAATAGGAAATCATTGTGGCTCTCTGGACCAGGCCTTCATAGCTACATTTTAAAGCATGGTATTCAGTACAGCTATTTTTTTTAAAACAAAATTTCATGAGAATTAGGGATTATTACACTAAGCAACTGTGAACGATGGGTAGACAAAGTTCTGGAAGGAAATGCAGTCGGACACCAGGAATGGTTGTCTGGATGGTGGGATGTGGTGGCTAATTCTTCTCTAAGTATTTGTGTATTTTCAACTTG